CAGTTTCCGGTTCCATTGCATCATTTTTTCTTAACAGGGGCCGACTTATGGTTTCCGTTATCGAGCCATCGTTCGCATTTGGTAACGCTTTCTGCGGTTAGATTACCCGACTCCTTTTGTATTGAGTTGGGCTCATCGTTCGTTACATTTACAACATCAGCTTGTTTATAGGAAAATAACGCTATCAAATATCATCAATTCTTAACTAACCCACGTCAACGAGAACCATCAGTCCAAAATTCAACGTCGATATCTTGATTAATGGTTCTTATGTTGAATTAGACGGGACGGTCTTACAGATATCAATCCCAAGTTCAACTTCGATATCTTGATCTAGTGGTTGTTACGTTGAACTGGAGGGGACGGTCTCACAGATATCATCTGTGGCTCACCCGGTCTGCATCATAGTATAGTATTATGTCAATTTTTCATCTCTCGTCATTTTCAGTAGCATTTTCATGGCAATTAGGCAGGAAGAGAACGATTTTTTTGAACGGTTCATAACGGTTTTAAGTTATAAAAAAGATAACCTGCACTGGAGCGTAAAAGTCGCGTCTCGACATGGATAAGGCTCGCTTTGTACCACACGATGTAGTACTTTTTACCATCCGGCATCATCTTGAAAATGAAACCAAATCCGTTTATCCACCAAACAGCTTGACTTGAGGTTAAGGATATGATGCATGCCATAGGAAATTTAAAACCGGCGTCAACAACATAAACATCTCTTTAACTAATCCCACTTCTAATTGAATCTGTCATCAGTCGTGTATATGCTCGCGATAGTCTACACATTAAAAAATGGTCAATTTGTAAACATACTAAAGAAATGCTGAATATATTCTCAATTTTTACCGTTTCTATTGATCATTTGCAGGTTGCTATGAACGCTCAAAATACTGTGTTTGACGCTAAGCGATTGATTGGTCGTAAATATAATGATCCGAAAATTCAACAGGACATGAAGCATTGGCCATTTAAAGTAATAAACGAAAGCGGTAAACCGAAAATTGAAGTCGAATTTAAAGGCGAAAGCAAGCGTTTTGCTCCGGAAGAGATTAGTTCTATGGTTTTAACTAAAATGCGTGAAATCGCCGAACTTTATTTAGGCGAAAAAATTACAGATGCAG